ATTAAAGGCCTGAGCAGAATAGAAATGTAACCGGAATCGTAATCGCAAACTCAACCGGAAGAATGAGTTAGAGAAGGATAAACATATTGTTTGTCCTTTTCTCACTCATTATTCCGGGTGCGTTTGCGATTACGATTTCGGTTACGTTTCTATTCTGCGTTGGCCTTAAGGCCCTTTCCAGAATGGAGCTAAACGCAACACAAACGCGACACACCTCCATTTGCTTAGCATTGCGCTGCGTTGCGTTTGGCTCCATTCTGGAAAGGGCCTAAAGGCCTTTCTCCAATAGGAACCTAAACTTTTGCGTTGCGTGACTGACGCGTTGATTTTAGCATTGATTGCCAATAGCAATCGACGCAATGCATACGCAACGCAAGAGTTTAGGATCCTATTGGAGAAAGGCCTTCATGGAGCGGTCAAGGCCTGAGCAGAATAGAAACGTAACCGGAATCGTAATTTCAAACGCAACCGGGAGAATGAGTTAGAGAAGGATAGACATATTGTTTGTCCATCTCTAACTCATTCTTCCGAATGCGTTTGCGATTACGATTCCGGTTACGTTTCTATTCTGTTTAGGCCTTGAAGGCCTTTCTCCAATAGGATCCTAAACTCTTGCGTTGCGTATGCATTGCGTCGGTTGCTATTGGCAACCAATGCTAAAATCAACGCGTCAGTCGCGCAACGCAAAAGTTTAGGTTCCTATTGGAGAAAGGCCTTCACAGCTCGACTGCCTGCTTGCCTGCGGGCAGACGGGGCAAGGGGGCGACATGAGTGTAAGCGAGAAGAAAAACTTGCATTTTCTCACTTACACTCATGTCGCCCCGTCTGTCCGCAGGCAGCCGAGCTGTGACCGTACCATAACATGGAGCTTCTAGACACCTGTGGATAGGGTGTAAAGCCATACATTTGTCCTGCAGTGGGATTACGAATAGCGCTAGTCGCTATGTAGCGCTTTTCGTTATTAAGAACTAAAAACTTACATATTTTTAGTGAAATTTGTTCCAAATCATGACCAATATAAAATACCGTTGACAGTTTCTTCAAATCTTAAACTGGAAGATGGTAATTTAGAAGAAAATATAAACATAACCCCCCTAGATAAGGACATTGACATAGAATTCATGTCAATTTCCTTAAATATTTTATCTACGTAGCAAACAAATTCAATATGAAGGTGGAATCAATTTATGGAGTTTTGGAGGTTAGGTAAGAAGGAGCTCCAGGTCTCTCATATCATGAAGGTTATCTGACTCCCTGGGAAGGTAACACTGTCCAATAAATACACAGTAGAGATTTAGTTACAACAAATTAAACTCTTTATTTTATAACTCCTGTGTATAGAATTTTACATTCATGTCTCTTCCTGGAGACCCACACTACACAGCCAAGTCTAAAGCCGATCTGACTCTCGACACACGCTGCCGGCCGGTGGAGCATGCGGTGGTGCCTCAAGGCGAGTTCTCACTTTTAAGGTGCGTTTCGCACTTGACTACACTCGCGGGGTGAGGACCCCCACATACTCCCCCCCCAGTGACAACGAATCTCTCATACATTATATTCTCGTGCATTGTTTGTATGAATTTAAATAAAAAAAAAAAAAACCTAGATAGATGTATTTTTGTTAATATTATTTCAATTTTATGTTTGTTTTTAGTGCGAAGTCAGTCTTTTTTTTTTTATTATTATCCCTAGCTAACCTGTTTTTTTTCTACGTAGGATCGAGGGAATGAATCTGACGCGTTTTTCCGTCGTTTTCTCTTTTTGTTGAGCTGGGATTTCGTCGTTATTTGCCATTGTTTTTTCGCGTGATTTACATGTAGGCTTTGGTATTTTTTCAGGGCTTTTTGTCTTTACAATTTTTATTTGCTGGTCGCACTCGTGGGTCAAAAGCGCGGCTGGTTTTTGGGGCTTTGTCGTGCTTTTTACCGGTATTTGTTTGGCGATGTCGGAGTACGTTTTGTCAGTCAATTCTGTGTTGACCTTGTCATTTATTATGCTACGTTTCTCTATCGTCAATTTTTCGGTAAACGGTACAAAGTGTGCTGGCTTGACGTTCTCTACTGATACATTTTTCAATTTCCCGTTTACATCGATGCGAAAAATCCGGTCTGTAATGCGTTCGATCACCTTGTGAGGTCCGGAGTACGGGCACTGGAGTGATCTTTTGGCCGGAGGGGCACGTAAAAATATGTGCGTACATGATTGTATATCTTTATGTGCGAATGTTTTTCTCCTGTCGTGATGCGTGACGGGAACCGCTCTAACTTTGCTCATATTTCTGCGAAATTCGGAGTGAAAAAATATCGGGTCAGCGGACTCGTCCTCAGGAAGAACCAGTTCTCCAGGGATGCGAAGGGTTGTACCGTAGAGGTATTCCGATGGGGATATTCCGTTCTCCATTACGTTGACTCGTAAGCCGAGCATCACCGTGGAAAGTGCGTACACCCATTCTTGGTCGGTGTGGCACATGATCGCCGCTTTGAGCGTTCGGTGCCACCTTTCGATCATGCCGTTGGAGGCGGGGTGGTATGTTGTCGTGCGGGTGCGATCACTTCCGGTGACCCTGCGGAGTTCCGAGAAGAGGCGTGACTCGAATTGTGTGCCCTGGTCTGTGGTTAGTGTCTCGGGGCATCCGAATCTCGCAATCCACGTGTCGACGAATGCGCGGCAGACGGTTTGTGCGCTGATGTTTTTGATGGGGACGGCTTCAGGCCATCTCGAAAATCGGTCGATCATCGTCAGGCAGTACTCGTATCCATCCACTTTCGGCAGTGGTCCCACGATGTCCATGTGGACGTGGCGGAATCGCGTTTCTGGCGCAGCGAAATCTGCTGGTTTTGTATGCACGTGTCTGTTCACTTTTGCTCGTTGGCATTCGATGCAGTTTGTTGCCCACTCCTTGACGTCCCGGTTAATCGAGGGCCACACGAATCTTTGTCGGATGATTTTTCCCGTCACTTTCGCGCTCGGGTGGGCGGGGTTGTGGAATATCCTGAATATTCGTTCTCGGAGCGTTTGTGGTATAAATGGTCTCAATGTTTCTCCAGATGTGTCGCAGATGACTTTGACGTTTTCCGGTCCCCATTTAATCTCCTGTAATTTCAGTGACGTGCTTTTCGAAGTGCGCCATTCGTCGATTTCTTTATCGTTTTCCTGAGCTGCTGATAATTCGGTCATCGTGAATTCTGCTGGGATTTGGATTGAATCGACTCGTGACAGCGTGTCCGCGACGACGTTTTTCTCACCCGCAATGTGCCGAATTTTATTCGTGAATTGCGAGATGAAACCAATTTGGCGTTGCTGTCGTTTTAGCAATTTATCCGATTTTTGAGTCAGGGCGAATGTTAGAGGTTTGTGATCGGTTAGTACCTCAAATTCGTGCCCTTCCAAAAAATGTCCGAAGTATTTTATGCTCTCGTAGATTGCCGTCAATTCGCGGTCGTACGCGCTGTAGTTTCGCTGTGCCGGTGAGAATCTCTGGGAAAAGAATCCGAGCGGCCGCCAATCGTTTCCGATGCGTTGCTCTAAAACTGCCCCCATGCCCGTGTCCGAGGCGTCCGTTGTGAGTCGCGTTTCGGCCCCTTCGATGGGGTGGGCTAGGGTCACGCAGTTGGCAATTTCGGTTTTTATGGTTTCGAAGGCTTTTTCCGATTCAGCGTTCCAGGGTATTTCCCGCTTGTCATTTTTCTTCGCGTCGCGTAAGTATTCATATAACGGTCCTTGTATTTGGGCCGCATTTCGTAGACCTCGACGATAGAAGTTGACGAGTCCCAAGAATCGTCGCAATTCTGTGCGATTTTGTGGTTTCGGGAATTTATTTATGGCGTCGATTTTCTCTGTGGTGGGCCTGCATCCTTGTGCGTTGACGATGTGTCCCAGAAATTCTAATTCGGATTTGCCAAATTCACACTTGTCGACATTTACTCGCAGTCCGTATTCCTTCAGGCGTTGAAACACTTCCTTCAGGTTTTTCTCGTGCTCTTCACGGGATGACGATGCTATCAGTATATCGTCGATGTATGCAAAGACGTTTGGTAGGTTTCCAAGTGCACTAAAAATGTACCTCTGGAATGTTTGTCCCGCATTTCGGAGGCCGAATGTCATTGTGGTAAATTCGTATAGCCCGAATGGCGTGATTACCGCAGTTTTCGGGATGTCCTCGGGTGCTACCGGTATTTGATTGTAGGCTCTATATAAGTCGATTTTTGAAAAGATGGTCTTCCCATGTAGATTTGCCGCGAAATCGTGTAAATAGGGTACCGGGTAGCGGTCGGGTTCAGTGACAGAGTTTACTCTGCGGTAGTCTCCGCAAATTCGCCAGGTGCCGTCTTTTTTCAGTTTCATCAGTATGGGGGATGCCCATGCTCCGCTGGATTTTCTACATTGTCCAGTGTCTTCCATAGCTTGAAACTGATTTTTGCAGTCCTTGAGCATTTGTGGGGAAAGTCGGCGCGCGTGTTGTGCTACGGGTGGCCCGTTTGTTAAGATGTGGTGGACTACGCCTTTGACCGTCGGTGTCAGGGGTGTTAACGGGTTTGTCAGTTCGGGGAATAGTTTTAAAATTTCCGCGAATGGCATTTCGTGATCGATGGTGCTGACCCCTCCAAACGCCACCGCTTTTATTGTTCCGGAGCTTCGTAACCATGTGAGGGAATCGACGATTTTTCTCGATCTGATGTCTACGAGGAGTCCGTATCGAGAAAGGAAATCGGCCCCCAGGATCGGGTATGGCACGTCGGCGACGCAAAAGTCCCAAGTGAAGTTTCTCCGTAGCCCTAAATCGACGTTTATTTTCTTTTCGCCGTACGTTGATATTTTCGAATTGTTGGCGGCGAAAAGTGTGAATTTTGACGGTGTTTTCGAGTCGTTCTTGTCGCGTGGTATAATGGAGATATCCGACCCCGTATCTATTAAGAAATTCAAACGTGTCTTCTTGTCAAGAATGTGTAAACGCTTAGAAAGGCCGCCAGGTCCGATCGCGTCAACTCGGTTTGGCGGTTTCAGTTTTCCGTGTTTTGGGGTTTTTTCCACGTGCACGGTGATTGGCATTTTTTTGCTTCCTGTTTGAACTTTCTGTGGTACCAACACAGATCCGAAGTGTCGCGAGGCCTGGATTTGCTTCGTCCATTTCCGTTACGCGATGAAGAACGTCCGCGTGAATGTCCGCGATGTTGGTCACGTCCCCGCCAATTGTTCATTTGTTCTTTGATATTTTTTAATTCCGTCATGATGGCGTCTATTCGCACGTCGTGGTTTGTGGCGGAATTTGCGATGGCTGCTACGGATGTTGTATTCGAATTTTCGGTGGAATGTGGCTGTATTTCCTCGGTAATTTTGTCAGCGATGCTCGCTGATTCGGTTAGATTTTTGGTAGAGCTTGGTGCTAATATTTGCCTGTGGAGGGCTGGTAAATGTTCCATGAATAGTGATCGGAGGACTTCGTCGCCACATTCGCCGTTCGCGATGTTCCGGAGTTGGGTGAGTATGAATGAGGGTTTTCCATTTAAGACTTCACCTTTTATTAGTTGTCGTAGGCGTTGTTCTTTGCTTGTTCCGAAGTTCGTTAGAATGCCCGATTTAATTTGAGTGTAAATGTCCGAAGGGGGTGGTTTGGTAAGGACCAAACATCTGACACATGTCAATATTTCGGAATCGACGCCACCGATCAACAAATCCGCTTGATCTATCTCAGTTGAAACGCCGTGTCGGCGGAAAATGCGCTCTATTTGGTCGAACCACATGTCTGGGTCATTTTTATTGAAATTGGGTAAACGTACGCGTGACAAGTCAGTAGTCATGTTGAAATCTATGAGGGGTGGTGCGGGGCTATTTTCGCAGTGGTTTGTTAAAGTGCTGTTATTAATTTCGGAATTTGTATCCAATTCTTGGGTTGTATTTGGATGAGTTGTATTTGTTGCACTGAAATTTGCCGAGTCAAATGTGGGGTTGTCTGTTGTGGTGTCCAAGTCTATTAGTGTAGCCTCGTTGTCGTTTGTGTTCGGTTGTTTTTTGTTTTTATTATTAGGTGGAGTTCGCTGCAGTCCTTTTCTCGCGAATGCTTGTTCTGTTTCGTTTTGATTTTCAGCCGTTGGTTTACCGGATTCTTCCTGTTCCCGTTCTTGTTTTCTAGTTATTACCATGTCGCGTATGCGTTCGCGAGATCCCGTGACGCATCACTCAAGAGTATGAGAAAAAAAAAAAAAAAAAAAATTTTATACGAACTTTTATGTGTGGTTGTAGTTTTGTTTTGATGTTGAAACCGAAAATAGGGCGATCAAATAAAAAGGAAGGAGAGAAGAAAAAAAAAAAAATAAATAAATAAATAAATAAATAAAATAAATAAATTTTTCTTATCTTTACTTAAGTTATTTTCTTTGTATGACCTCCCTTGCCCGCACTCCGAACCGTAACCGTGACAAATTAAGGGTTGTTCATCTAATTTTTATATTGATAAATATTGGACAATGCACAGATATATTTCACACAACGTGTTGACAGCCAGTTCGAAAGGTGAATATTAAGTGAGTTTGTTTATACTAATGAAATTAATTTTTATTTAATTTTGTTTTGTTTAGGAAAAAAAAACAATTTATTTTCGTTAATTGATTTGACAATCACTGGTTGTATTCACCGTTCGGACGTTAAGTATATTTATAATATAGTATAGTAGGTAATAAAGGAAGGTATTTGAGTATTTATTTATTTTTATTAAATTGTCGTAGCTTCCTTGGTTTTGCTTCTGCCTGTAACAGATGTTAGAACATGTCGCGACACAATTTCAGTATAACGTATTTAACTGTGGCTGTCAACCAATACACACACACGCACAATTAAAATATTTATTGTTCCTATTTTAGTTTGAAATTTTTCGTTATGGCGAGATTAATTGTGTTTATTTATTATTTAAGAGTTTACTTTATGTCAATTGTTCTTAAAATGTGTTATTCACTTTGTTTGTTATTTTTTTTACAATGTTACATTGAGTCAAATGAAAAAAAAATAAGATAAAAAAAAAATTTCAAAGGAATAAATTATTTTTCTTGCATAAATAAAAGAAAGGAAATAGTAAAATTTCAATTGCTTTTAATGCAGAACTTGGAGTTTGCTTTTGAAAAGTTTGACTTACAGTTCTGTTGTCAGTGTTGAGAATCGGCGCAGCTGCTTTTTCGTTCTTGCGCTTTGCCAGCGCGCTGTGTGAATTGCTGAGAAGAGGGGGATGCTTGTTCAAGATGGCGACAACTGAGACGTTCCTTGCTTCGTGACGTCACTGTGTATGACGTAGTTGGATTTGCCTGCTTTTGTCCAAGGTTGGCCGGAACTTGATGACGAGAGTTTTCGTCTGTTCGACTGCTTGGCTGTCAGGATCTGTCCAATGGCTCGTGCGTTGTCGCTGCTTCTCTCTGGTATTTGCTTCCTCTCGATATTTTTCAATTGAAGTCGATCGGGAGGTCTGCTTCCAGTTTGAAGGTTTGTGTGGAAAAGTCGTTTTGGTACTTGATTGTCCACCCTCTTTATATTATTTAGGCTTTTGTGTTGCTGTTTCGGTGAGATTCACTATGCTCGTTGTGTATGAGAGCAATGGCGGTATTGACGAAACGGCGTGGGTCGTAGAGATTTTCAGAGTTCTAATTGTGTGTGTGTGACTTGTGTAGAAATTTGTTGTTGCGTTGATTTGTAAATTTCTCTTGTTAGTGGTTGAGAATGTGATTACCTTCGAGTATGCGATGTTGTAGGAATTTTGAATTTTCCAGTAATCGTGTTCGTTGGTTGGCGTCACCACTATGGAGTTTTGGAGGTTAGGTAAGAAGGAGCTCCAGGTCTCTCATATCATGAAGGTTATCTGACTCCCTGGGAAGGTAACACTGTCCAATAAATACACAGTAGAGATTTAGTTACAACAAATTAAACTCTTTATTTTATAACTCCTGCGTATAGAATTTTACATTCATGTCTCTTCCTGGAGACCCACACTACACAGCCAAGTCTAAAGCCGATCTGACTCTCGACACACGCTGCCGGCCGGTGGAGCATGCGGTGGTGCCTCAAGGCGAGTTCTCACTTTTAAGGTGCGTTTCGCACTTGACTACACTCGCGGGGTGAGGACCCCCACAAATTCTCTAACTTCATGTTTGCCAACTGTTAGTTTCAAATAAAATAGTTTATTAGTGACGAAATAAATTATACTTTAATATTGGAAATAACTTATGAATTTAATAAATAACACTTTTAAAAATAAATTATCTAGTTTAATGTTAAAATAATTTATAAAGGAAATAAATTTTTTAAATTTAATTTAATGAATAAAAATTAAGAAAATTAATCTTATAGCAAGAATAAAAAAAAAAAATAATTAATAATTAAAATTTGTTTTCCCATTTTAGTCAATGTCTGATAGAAACTTTTAATCCTATGAAAAAGATAATAAATATAAATGCAATAAATATTTTATTATTAATATAAAAAAGAAAAGTAGATAGTTTATTATTATTAGATAAAGTTTAATTATTTCCTTGATTTTTTGTAAGGATAGAAATTTGAAATAAATGTCTCCTTTTTTCTTATTTATTATTATTTTTTATTTAGTTTATAATTATTAATTTTAAAAAATTAGAGGTTTAAATTAAATGTATTAGGAAATATAAAAGTTAATATAACAATATATTATAATACTAGCAAAATTAAAAGCGCGAAATTAGACATTTAATTGTTTTTTATAAAGAACTGTTAAAGAAACCAATTCTGCAATAAGAAAACACAATTATACAAGTTGGAAAAAATGAGAAAAGTAATATTCAAAATTTGACACGTCATAGTATTACAGTTCAAAAAACACGTAAAATTAGCATAGACTAACATCAAGGTAGGACAAAAGGACAGACCAAGCATTATATTATTATATAATAATAATAATTTTTAGATAGAATATTCTCCTGGAAATTAAAAAATCCCTTAAACAATTAAATAAAATTGAACAGCATGTTTGTATTATTTTTTTACTGTAAAACAACACTTATTACCTTCAAAAAAACCTACAAATTAAACCTCAATTGCAATAGAATAAAAATAATCAATTTTTTTCACTTTTTTTGATAGAATGTTTTCCTGGAAAATAAAAAAATCCCTTACAAAGTCAAAAAAAATTAAACAGCATGTCTGCATTATTTTTTTACTGTAAAACAACACTTATTACCTTCAAAAAAACCTACAAATTAAACCTAAATTGCAATAGAATAAGAGTAATCAATTTTATTCGATTTTTTTTATAGAATGTTTTCCTGGAAAAGGAAAAAATCCCTTACAAAGTCAAATAAAATTAAACAGCATGTTTGTATTATTTTTTTACTGTAAAACAACACTTATTACCTTCAAAAAAACCTACAACTTAAACCTAAATTGCAATAGAATAAGAATAATCAATATTTTTCACTTTGTTTATTATTATATAATTAATTATTTATCGTTGTCCCGAATTGCTTTTTTTATAATTTGTGATATTTGAAGCGTTACACTTGAAAAATTTGTCAGGTTTGTAGAAATTTTTTTTAATTGCTGCATTTCTTCATCGTGGCAAATTCTTATGACTTTGAGACATTCTTGATTCTAAAAAGAAATGGTTAAAATATAAAATAAAGCAAATATGAGGAAAAAATACAAATTCGGAAAATTTGATTATTAATAGTTTAGACTAGCTTTGAGCTAGTTAATATATTAATAATAACATTTTTAATCATAAAACCAACCTCTAATGGTACATTAGACATTTTTTTGACCACTGCTGCTGGTATTGCTTCTTCTAAATCGACCTATTAAATTGTATTAAAGTTATATATAAATCATAAAAATTTAAGTATATTTTATTTTTGAAAATTTGGAATTTTAACTTACATCAGAGTCAGATTCTGGTATTCCAATTTCTTTGGTTACGCCATCCCCTAAAAAGCAACTTTTGCCTTTTACAGACAAAAGTCGGTCTTCCAACCCCGTTATACTAACATTGGCGTTGCTGAAATTGCCTCTTCCAGTGGTTCGTTTGCACCGTTTGATATTGGCTAATTTTCCTTTCGTGTTCGATACCCATCGCGACAGAAACTGTCAAATAAATTCTTTTTAATTGTTATACAATTAAATATATTAATTATTAAGTATATGTGGAAAATTGAAGCTCAAAATGTATATTGTTAATAAACAAATTAAATAAAATGGCCTTTTTGTTTTCGAGATATTAATTAATTAATGTTATTAAAACATGAAATATTTTACAAACAAATAGTCACCGTGATTCTAAAATTTCCAAGTAGCACCGAATATTACAGTAATATTACTGTAACATTAAAATGTCCGCCTCATGGTAATATTACCGGTTAATTTTACAGTAATATTATAGTAACATTACAAAATATTACTGTAATATTACAAAAAATTTCAAAAACATTTAAAAATATTTGATTGATTAATTCTTTTTTTTTGTCATAAAAAACTTTGAAATTTTTATGTATTTCAAATAAACGTGTAATATTACTGTAATGTTGAGGCTGAAATTTTAATATTACTGTAATATTTACGTAATTCCGCATCCAATGTTCTCATTTTTACAATTGGATCACTTTAAAAATTTTTCCACATATTAAGAAAAAAATTTTACCTTTTGCCATTGAGGAGGCGATCTAGAATTTCTTTCTGTGTTCATTAAATTTAATTCTTTTGAAATTTCTGCCCATTCTTTATTATATTTTTGCCTTGACAAAACTTTAGTAAATTTTTTTGTCAACAACGTCGGATTTTCCTCAATACACTCCAAAATTCTCTGCTTCTGCTCAGATGTATTATTAATTATTAAATGGTATTATTAAATGGTTTTTGAGTTGTCTAAGATTTATAAAAATTTTTAAAAAAATAAGAGTATCAATGTCGATAATTAAGGTTCTGTTTGAAATGGAATAACTTTAACAAATTTGTTTATTAAACTAAAAAAATCGCAAAAAATTACATACTAAGTTTTCCAGTAGTTATTCCAGTAATTCTTCTTCATAAAGGATTATTTCATGAAATAGTGGATTTTATCGTTTTTGTTGCGAGCTATTAAGGATGCTGATTTAGATGTATAATTTTATGATTATCATTTAAAAAGTGTTTACAATAAACAATTAGCCAATAAACATTAAAGTCTTGAAGGCATACTTGATTGATTTTTAAAAATTTTAGAGAATTATAGGAGTTCCAATCATGACAACAACAAAAAATTGGAAAAAAACCTTTTTTGCAACAAGCCTAAAAATTGTTCTGTATAACTAAACAAGTTTTTAAATGAAGGTAACTTGTAGTTATTATTAATATCTATCCTGAAGTAATAAAGTCCCCTAAAATCGGAGCAATACACACTTTTACCAGAAGCACAGAATCGTCATGGGGAAGCCATTACATATTTTTAAAAAATCCAATTATTATTTATATTTTCTATTAAAGAAAGTGTACTAATATTATTTTGGCAAATACAGGGCTCGGATCGACTTTAAGACTCAAAAAAAGTCGCTTTAGTCTCATAAATTTACAAAAAAAGTCGCAAAAAGTCGCATGGAATTTCAGAAAAAGTCGCAAAAAAGTCGCATGAAATTTTAGACAAAAATTACAAAAAGAGGCATAAAACTGTAAAAATAGTAAAAAAATAACAAAATTTTAATGAGGTATTATTATAATTAAATGTAGAATGCAACAAATTCATGGTGGCGAGTTTTTTTCTGATTACAAATTCCCGGTCAATTTAAACAATTTCCCGGTCAAATTTTTATGAACAATTTAACATTATCTTTTAACTATTAAGTTTTTTTAAATAATTTTCTTTACGTTTTAAATAAGTATTCTGAATTTTGTAAACTTTTAAATTTTATTAATTTAATTTATTTGAAATTTATAAATTAATATTTTATAAATCAACAAATCTTTGGTAGTTGATAGTGAGATCTTTTAACGTATAACATCTAGATTAAATGTAAATGAGAAATACATTAATTTCTTTTAGTCTGTAAAATATCTAGTTCTTCTTGAATTAACGTTGCTTTTTCTGTAGCATCTTTGAGAATTTTCCGTTTTTTTGCTTGAAGTGTCTTAATTTCCTCAGATTGTCGCTTTTTGTCTTCTTTCTCTTTTAATACTTATTGGTATATTAATACCAAAATGGATTAAAATAAGCAAAAATTGATTAAAATAAGAAGCGTCGCAACTTATTTTAATACCTTTTAATTTTCTGTGTACTACTGTGAATTAAACTTCTTTCTTCAGTTCAGTAAAATATTATGACATTATAACATACAATATTATGACATTAGTAATTATAAACCACAGTTATATTTGTGAAATTAGAACAAATTTATTTTTGATGAATTTAAAAAAAATGTTAAAAAATGAAAAAATTCCCGGTTTAGTCATGAATTTCCCGGTTTTCTCGGTCACTTTTTGAAATCCCGGTCATTTCCCGGTTTCCCCGTCCCCCACAAAAATAATTTAATTATTTTTATAAAAATTATTTTATTTGATATCTTTGAAAAAACAAATGTAGTGATAATAATAATTTTTTAATGTAACACAATACTTCAAGAAATATAGAATAATTGGTTTAATACTGTCAGTATAAATAATCACAGTTCTCTATGACATATAGGTTAATTTGTTAAAATAATCATTCTAGATTTAACAAATAAAATCTTAATGGAAGATAAAGTTAATAAGTTATTTTTTTCATTTTCTAACTTCTTCATAAACGCAAATAAACTCGACAGTCGAACAAATAATTGACGATGGAACGTAGTTTTTTATTTTGTGATGAAACACAAAAATAATTTTTAATCGCAATTATTTCTTAACGCATAGAATAATCGGTTTAAAACTGACAATATAAAAACTATGTTTGCTATTTAAAATTTAAGTTAAAAAGTAATTGAAAAATCTAAAAAAAGTCGTATTAGTCGCATTTTATTCAAACAAAATCTGGAAAAAAGTCGATTAGTCGCACTTTTTCACCAAAAAGTCGAAAAAAGTCGAAAAAGTCGCACAATCCGAGCCCTGCAAATATAAATGTTGTAAATATAAAAAAATTGATAATTGTGGAT